AAAATATAATACGATGTGCAAAAAAAGTGTTTGTGGCAACTCAAACAAAAAGGGTTTATTTGCTTTCCTTTTCCTTTTTTTTTTTTCAAAAGAGGTAAGCTACAACTGCAGAGATAACAGTGCAAATCCATGTGGAATTCAGTCTTGTTGCAGGCTGTCATTCCAATGTGTCTGGTGTTTTCAAATCCCTGACAGCAGAAGTGAGGTGACATTAACCTGCCAGTCCTTCCACCCCAGTCTGACTTTTCTGAAGGCCTGAGGCAAACACATGCAACCAGTCACTAAAGGATTTGGTACCATTCCTCTGGTGCAATAAGTCTGTAGCCCAGCAGCTGTTGTTTAGTGATAGATCAGTGAAGCAAAAAATTATGCTGGTATAAAAAATAGATCTTGAGCCACAGCTCTCATTCTTATGCCTTTGTTCTGCATTAGTAGGAAACCTCTGGGATTCATTTAGCTGTAATCATTTGTTACTGAGGGGCAGAGCGTCTTTCAGACAGTGATGATGGAGTCACCTTTGAAACAAGTGCAAATGAGTAGAAATCATTTCCCAATCTATTCTCCTAGGATTACATTTGATAAACTGGCACACATTGCAAGAACCTGCTCCAAATGTTGAGAACTAACGTACATACTAAATAGGCCTTTTTTTATTATTTTGTTAATATTTTTCCCTGACAATTTAATTAGTTTACCTTCTGGAGTTTCAACCCTTCATTCAAGACTCACTGATACATGTACAAAAAAACCTTAAAAACAGACATCAAGATGCAAATTCTTTCCTTCTGTATACCTACTGAAGTAAACCCCCATGCACACCCCTCTCTTAAATGTCTGAGTCTGATCCTAAGTCCCCAGGACTCATTAGTGCTCTTCAGTGGCTTTGAATTCGGGTTTAAATTCAGAATTAAGACTAGTTTATTCCTTAATTCATTGTAATATATTTCTGATTAGTTTAACCTCTTGTTTTCTCTGTTCACAAATTATCCATGAGCAGGTCATGAAATCAAAGAATTTGTTCATTATTTGTACATGTTAACAAATAGTTTGTTAATGAACAAGTACATATCCACTCAGGGTTACTTAACCAACACAGTATCATCTCCATTATTTAAGTGCAATTGTTCAGGAAGTCTATTGCACAGCTAATTCTAACAACAAATAATGATTTCAAGGTAAGCACATCTAAAAGGAAGATATCTAAAAAATATTTCATCATGCCAGAATTCATGTTATTTTGCTTTCCACAGCTGTTGCTTTGAACAAATAATGTGGAATGTTTACAAATATGTAAATTAAAGGGTCACTTGAAGTCAATTGGTGTGTTTTAGTCACTAGATTATTTGCCCAATTATGCATAATTAGGACGTTGGATTATAGTTTTGGACTTGAAACCACAATCATATTGCATGTTTCCCAATAAAGTCAGTGGAATTTCTGTCTGAATTGCATTTGATGGCTTTTATAAATCAAAAGCCATCATATACAAACCATTTGACCTTGACTGAAAGTCTAAAGATGCGTCTATACTGCACCATTATTTCGAGATAATTAGTGTTATTTTGAAATAACAATGACAGTGTCTATACAGCCATTCTGTTATTTCCTAATAATTTCAAAATAATGGATGGCTTATTCAGAAATCTGTAAATCTTATTCTGTGAGGAATAATGCCTATTCCAAAATAGTTATTTTGAAATAAGGTGTATGTAGATGCTTCATTGCTGCTATTTTGAAATAGCTCCTCGCCAGGGCAATCTAAGTTATTCCTCCCCAGTGTCTCCCGGGGCTCTAAATTGAAGTAGCACATCTTCATTAGGGAAGCCTGCCTCAGACTAACTTTGAGGCTTCCCTGCGGTGTAGATGTGCTATTTTGACATAAGCATGCAGTGTAGATGTACCCTAAGACAACAAACATAACACTACATTATATATGTATGCCAATTTGGACCCAGACTCTCTAGTGTATTAGAACTTTTTGAAGGACAGCGCTGACAGATAATGGTCCTAAAACTAGCATTTCTGGCTTCACCAATGTTACTTCAGTAAAAGAATATCCTTTGATGCCTGCTGTCAGCATAGTTTGTCCTATACCAAACTATCTCTACTATTGTGATGATGAAATACTTTGAAGTGGTGCTGTTTGAGTCCTATACAAACTCTACTCTGCATTCTATCTTACAAGCATGCATAAGAGGCTGTGTGGATATATTCATATGTACTTTTTAGCCTGGGTGATACCAACTCTCTAAGGTGCTCTTTTCCTGCTAACATGACAAATAATTTGACAAAAGGCTTTAGAGGGGTCAATTATATGGCTAGATTGTTTCACATAATGTACAAGTAGATAGATGTACAAGTAGATGGACAAGTAGAGCCTCGTCAGGATGCAAAATTGGTATCCACATCAATGGATGTGGATGCCTGTGGCTATAAAGAAGATATCCTCAGATTTGCAGGGGTCTATGTACGAGAGCTTCAAAGCATGCACCTGCTCTCTTGGCTATGCCCGCTGTCCCCTACCCATTGGAAGACCAGTTGGCAAGTATCTTTGGGACTTTTCCCAGGAAGCAGAACCCAGGAGGCCAGCTATCCTTCTGGGCTCCTACTGCAGGCTGGGGTTTGTGCTTCAGTGCTATCCCAATCAGAATTGGGTTCTAAGATTTTAGTGTATGAGCATGCTGAGGGACAAAAGGTTGACAAGAAGATGCACATGAATAGTGTTAAAACTCTGAGATTACCTACATACACAGATAAGCAGATCTGCCAGTGGAGGTATGGGGGAGGAAAAAGAGACAATTGCCCTGGCTCCTGGCATTTCTAAGGGGCTAGGATTCCTGGCTGCTGCCCCTGCTACTGTGGCAGTGGTGGTAGCTGAAATCCTGGTCCCTTGAAATTGGAGCAAGACTGCCACACCGTATGCTCTGTGCAGCTCTGAGAACTAGGGGTGCCATGCTCTGGGCAGTGCAGAGGCTGTGTTCTGTTCTGGGCCTGCCCCTTTAACTTGAGGCCCCTCCCCTTCCAGGAGCACAGAACTGCCCCCCCCCTCCACACACACACAAACACACTCTTTGCACAGAGGCTGTCAGCTAATCCTGCAAATCAGGTACACTTGCAAAGGCTGAAAATGTTAATATTCTTAACATACAATGACTAATGGACTTGTCAATATCTCTTTTAACAAATCATAAACACACCACTTGAAGAAAATATTTAACAGGAACAATGAACATTAGTGCATATTTGTCTGCATCTTTCTTGTCTGCATCTCTCACTGGGACCTTGGGTTGCTCAGCACCTTTGGAAAACAAATCATGGCCTTTCTACTTCAATGCCTATGTATGGCTTTAAGAGACTTACTTTAGGCACGTAAGTTTGATGTTTCCTGCCTAGACATTTTCTTTATGATTTTGATGACCAAGAGAGAGAACCTGGCATATGGACAAAAACTGCATTCCTGTTTGATTAGTGATAAACATGTAAATTCTTGTTCCTTCCAGTTCAATCCATAAGTTCTTCATGGGAGACACCATGGCCTGGACAGAGTACTGGACTGGAAATCAAACACCTCTGGCCTGTTTGGAGAGATTAGAGATGTCATTGCCTTATGCCTCAGTTGAACCTGTCTGTAAATTGGGAAGAATGATGCTGATCTCCTTTGTTAAGCACTTTAAAATCTACCAATTAAAAGCCATGGATACGGTCTCAGTGGTATTATTATTTCTATAGTTGTTCAGTACCTGGCACTACAGGGACCTGAGCTTGGAAAGGGCTTCCAGATACTGTCTTAACATTTGCATTCTCCCAGTTCTGTAATTATATGTTATTTTCAGGCTGTTTGGCCTATTCTTCTCAGTCCAAGACTCAAAAACAACCTCCTTCTTACTTTTAAGTACTTTCCTATGTCACTACAACCTCCCCCCTCCCTCCCACACAAAATGATCTTCACATATATTCTACTACTCTGTGTATAATGTGGTCTTAAGTCACATTTCCATTTCATTTGGTTAGCAAACACTGGTGACTAACAGAACAACATGCAATGTTTTCAGACTTTTTCTTGAATTTGTACATTTAGGACATTACATAAAAATGCTTGCAAATAATGTTAATCTATTGTGATATGAGACAAATTATCATGAATTCTGGAAAAAATAAAATGACACACAAATGAAATTCTGATTGATAATGATCAGATGTTCATGTAAAATAGGAATAACTAGTGAAAAAGCCAGAGAAAATAAGGGAGGGGGGGGCGAAAAGTAAACTGTTATCAGTACAATTGCTTATAGACTCATAGGGCTGGACAAGATTTCTGGAGGTCATCAAGATCCAACAACCTGCTAAAAGTAGGATCAATCCCAACTAAATCATCTGAACAAGGGCTTTGCCAAGTTGGGACTTAAAAACCTCTAGGAATGGAGATTTCAACTCTCCCCCCCCCTCCCCAGGTAACCCATTCCAGCACTTCACCACCCTCTTAGTGAAACAAAAGCTTGCCAAATTTTTCCACTGAGTATCAGTTTTTTTTATTTTGTATCGTTTTTGTTTGTAACACCAGATATGCATTGCTAGCTCTTAAATGTAGCTGTAATATTAAATTTACAGATTTTGCACAATTGATATGAGTTAGTATGAAAGAATTGTCCATTAATGTAAGTAATTACTGTACATTAGATTTTAATGTGATAAAGAATACATTGTTTTAAAACATTCTATTTAATCTAAAATGTATCCATTTTCATATTGCTTCTTAGAATTAAATATGTATCCTTAAAATGTGTAATTATAGTTCAAAATGAATTATTTAAAAAGGCATTTTACTGTTAGAATATAATACTGTAAATAAAAACAAAATGCTTATTATGTTGTTTCTTTTAAAGAAAGTTATATTCACTGTTCCTAGGCAATGAAATCGTGGTCAACAAAGCACAGTTTGACACATCCTCCCCTGAGAGTTGATCTTGCATGGAGTACAGGAAAAGCTGAGTTTATAGTCAGTTTCCTTTACTTTGTTCTGCAGGGAGAGTTGCAGGTCAGGCACCTTCTTACTCCCTCTACACAGTAGATAGGTGAGTAAAAATTCCTTTTCCTTTATTAATAAGCTTACCACTCTTCAGTCTAAAGAAAATATTATCACTTCATTTGTTTAGCAAACACTTTAAAACAAAGTACCATAATGCTTGATCGGTTGGATGGGGGCGGGGGAGAGAGAGAGTCATATTGAAGCTATTACTTGTTAGATCAAGAGTAAGGGTATGTCTAGACTGCATCCCTCTGTCGGCAGAGGGATGCAGATTAGGCAGGTCAACATTGCAAATGAAGCGGGAATTTAAATATCCCGTGCTTAATGTGCATAAAAATGGCTGCTGTTTTTGCAGACTCAGCACTTTGTCGGCAAAAAGCGACATTCCAGAGGGGGATCTATCAAGAAAGAAAGGCTTTTTCGACAGATCCCTTATGCCTCCGGCGAGGAGGTTTACAGGATCTGTTGAAAAAGGCTTTGTTTCTCTACAGACTGCTCTTTTGTTTCCCCTCTAGACTGCTGCTTTTTGCCGACAAAGCGCTGAGTCAGCAAAAATGGTGGCCATTTTTATGCAAATTAAGCACGGGATATTTAAATCCCTGCTTCATTTGCAATGTCATCCTGCCTAATCTACATCCCTCTGCTGACAGAGGGATGGAGTCTAGACATACCCTAATAGACTAGTAAAAAAAGAAGTTTAGATCCATTACAGTATATGGCAAGAAGAAGACCTAGGGTATGTCTACACTGCCACCCTAGTTCGAACTAGGGTGGCTAATATAGGCATTCGAACTTGCAAATGAAGCCTGGGATTTAAATATCCCGGGCTTCATTTGCAAGTTCGAATGCCTATATTAGCCACCCTAGTTCGAACTAGGGTGGCAGTGTAGACATACCCCTAGGGACAGAATCTGTTTGCAGAGTACAGGAAGAAGAAAGGGCAAAGATGATTCTGAACCATCTTTCTTGGGCACAAATTTTGGACTCTTGTTATGCCTGAAGACCAGGAGATTGCTCTCATTTAGGGACAACCTTCCCATGGTGATCTATGAGTTACAATGAGAAATCCCTCTAATGCTGAGCATTTCATCTGTACTTCCTATCCTTAACTCACCCACTAATATCAAATCCACTTACTTTGACCTACTGGTGCTCCCCAAATGATTGCATCTCTATTGCAGCCTATGTATACCTGGGGCAGCTGGATAAAAGTGAAAACTCATTGCATATATGTCAAGGAGGCAGGTGGGTGGGTTCTTTTTTTAAATAGACCTTTTCCTCCGACATGTGCACAGTCAACTTAAAGTCTGGTATTGCTCAAAGGTCAGCATTTGACTTCGAAACCTTAGCTTTCTTTTAATTTAGGCACTGTGTGTGGGTGTTTAGAGACAGCTTGCAGAATACAGCAGACCTCAGGCAGTGCTTTTCTCAGTCATGCTAGTACACATTAATATTTTATATTAATACGAAATGAGCCAGATTCTTAGTGCAAATCATCATAGTTCCATTGAAACTGATGAGGCTACGTCATTTTGCAGCAGCTAAGTAGCATATTACATAGATATGATGTTTATGAAAGTGTCTCTCTCTCTCTCTCTCTCTCTTCTGCTCAACAATGATGAGTGGAGTACTGCTAAATTACAACACAACTGGGAGGCAGACAGCTAGTCCAAAGCTCACACTGAGATATTTCACATTTTAACTCCAGCAGAAATGCCATCATTGACCACTCTGTTTTGTGACAGAATCTATTATCTTCATGTTTCTCTTTCTGCAGTGAAGATGCTATGGCCCACCCACTGTTCCTTTAGCTACTCAGCAGAGCAGAAAAGTGAAACACAAGTCTGACACTAGAGGTAACAAGGTGGTCTGGAGGTAAGATTTTCCTACTTTATCTGACTTATGTTGGGATTCTGAAATGACGGTACTTTGTGCTAAAAGTCAATGCTTGATTTTTGGAAATTATAGTAACCCCTTCTCAACATCCGTGCAACTTATGGACTTTCTTGGAAGCTTAAGAAAGAAATGGGTATATTTTATATCTTAAATTATGTTATTTATACTTCAACATAATACACATTTTGCTCTTTCATAAATACTTGATTTACCGCTTCCGACAGAGAGAATACCCTGAGACATACCTAACGGCAAAGGCTGTAGCACACATATTGTATAATGAGCTGTTTGCGCATATTAATAAATTTCTGATGGAGGCTAGGTGAACTTCAATGAAATTGATGGGCATGTTACATTAGGATACAAGAAGCAGGGAAGCTCCTTTTCAGTGTGAGATAGTTAAAGCATTAGGCTCCCTGTGATGGGGCGGACAGGCCCCGCACTAACGAGCAGGAGATAGCCCAGGCCCAGCTGGCAGAGAAGGCCCCGCCCCTCCGACCCTGCTGGGCATGCTCCCAACAGCGGCCGGGTATAAAGGCAGGAGGAGCCCAGCAGGCAGGGAGGCCCCAGGGAGAAGGAGGAGACCAGGCCGGACCGGAGTTCTTGCAGTTGCTGGGTCCAGAGTCGTCGCCCGCGCTGAACCGGGACACGGAGAAAGCAGCCGCCGGCCCGGAGTGGCC